CCCCGCCCCGTCAGCCCTGACTTCTCCGACTCCCTGAAGAGCCAGCGACCTCACCTGGCCTCCTGGGGCGAGTCCCTTCCCTCCTCCCTCCCCTGCTCCCTTCGCTGCTACTCAGAATTCTTCCATTGCAACACTGGAGATGACAGAGTTGGTATAAATAACTCTTAAAACACAAGCAAAAATTAACTGCACATATGAGGACTAGAATAGTCAATTTGCAGAAAAAAATGCTTGATGATAAATAAAAGAAAAAGTATTTTCCACCCATCAGATTAGCAAAGTCCCCATCTCCCAACGTTGACCAAAGTCGTCCTTTCTGGAATGCCTCTGGCAACATTCCTCTCTAACCGCAAGTTCCGCTTCTAGAATCAGTCCTAAGAGAGTCATCAGACAGACTTAGAGACCCAGTCAGCCACTCTGAGAGCTGGAGACCACCACAGCCAGCAGCTACTGCTGAGACGCCCACAATGCCCCCCAGTCCAGGCCCCCGCCCCAACTTTAAGTGATTCTCGGTGGCTCAGCCTGTAATCCCAGCGCTTTGGGAGGCCAAGAAGAATGGATTGCTTGAGCCTGCAGGTTCAAGACCAGCCTAGGCAACTTGGCAAGATCTCGTCTCTACAATAAATAAAAAATGAGCCAGGCGTGGTAGTGCAGGCCTGTAGTTCCGACTACTTGGAAGGCTGAGGTGGAAGGATCGTCGGAGCCCAGCAGGTTGATGCTGGGGTGGCCGTGAGTATGCCATTGAGACTCCAACTCGAAAAAAAAAGTGATGCAGAAGAAGTTCTAAAATGGGAAGGACATTCGTGATTCCCTTTCAGATGGGAAGAAATGACCTAATTCTTTAAAATCTGTGTGTGAAGTGAAAAGCTCTGAAGGTCATGCACTGCCCACACCAGCCCTTGGGGTGGGTAGCAACAGAGTTTCCGTCACTCTTTTCTGCTTCCACCAACCATGCTCCTTGCTGCTTGCAACAATACTTTCTTGCTCAGCATCTGGCCTTCCATGCTTCCCAACATTTTTTGTCCACCCTTCAGGCCTCCTGCAGGGGCCTACCCTGTCCTCCAGGTGGAATGGAATCAGTACTTTGAAGCCTCAGTCAGTTCCTCCTTTTCCAAGCACATCCCGCCAGGTAGCCTTCAGCCCTAGGTCGCCCACTTTCTAAAGGGAGGGGCTGCCCTCCTCATCTTCCTCCCTAGATAGGCGGGTGCAGGAGGACACGTCCAGACCCTTGCTCAGGGAAGGTCTGGGCCTCCAGACAACAGAAACCCCTCCTGACACGTTCCTCTACACTCCCACCCGCCTACCATGGTGGCAGCCCAGAGCGGGGGCCGCAGCTAGGCACTGAACCCTTGTCAGGAAACCAACGATGGCGTCGCTGCCGCAAGAAGCCCAACTTCAGGCTTCCCGCAGCTGCCTAGGCGGGGCCAGCAGGTGGCGCTGTGCTGTCTGCGCTCACCTGGAAAGGGAGAAGCCGTCCCTGACCCGCAGAACCCCTCAGGGCCCCCATCCTGTCCCAATACCTGCATACAGAAGGAGCTCAATCAACCAGCGTGCTAACGAGTTGGAAGGACGAGGCATTTTTGGTGTTACCTGCAATGCGAATGACTGCCCGCTCCGCGGGGTCCAGGACACTCCCATTGCTCCCAGCGCCGCGGCCGCTTCGCCGGCTCCGCTGTGTTTTCCCAAGATTCCAGGGCAGTGTGTCCCCGGGGCTTGGTGAGCCACTGCTTCCGTTGGAGACATCTTCAGCCACTGCCCGCACCTCTGAGTCTTCACCGGACATGGCCTCCTGGAAGAGGAGCAGGAGGGGTCACACTTCTGCCTATGGGGAATGCAGACTCTGCACATGGACCTTCTCCTTCTTAACGTAGACACTGACCGCATCCCATCTACCCTATCCCCTGGACACGGACACCCACGACCCTCCCACACCTTGCCTTATCCTTCCTCCCCCGCACCCCGTGCTCTCAACCCAGACACTGACAACCCTCTCCTCTATCCACAACCCCTTAAGCCCACCCCCTCAGATACTCAACCCCTCCAGTGCATAACCAGGACACTGACTGTCTTGGCCACTCCCTGTCCTCACACATTGATTGCCACTTTCTTCCCTTAGTCACTCAAGCCCTGACCCCCCCCCCACCCTGTCACCCAAGGGTTCACCCTATTACAGGACACTGACTCCACCACCATGTCAAACGGATGGGGAGGGGGTAATCACCTTCATCCAGACGCTGGCCTCCACCTCCTCCATCCCAGACCTGGACGCACTTCCCTACTCCTCTAATCAGCAGGCAAGCAAGACCATCAGCAAACACTGACTATCACTTCCTGTGCTCACTGAGTCATCATCAGGGGAGGACCCTCAACCCCATTCCCTGGACACGAGCACTCTACCTCCAAGCTGTCTCTGTCTCTAGGACTCCCCATCACTCCACCCCACCTCCGCCCCGCGCAGTCCCACCTCGGTCTCCGCAGTGAAGGCCTATAAATAGCTGGAGCTGCAGCAGCGTGGGCCGCGGGAGCTCGGCTGGGGCGAAGCCGACAGGGAGCCTGGGCTGCCGCCCCAGCAGCCCATCCTGGGGTACGTACACCGGCACCGCAGGCGCAGCTGGGACGCACGCATACCCACACGTGCACAGCTCCCCGGCTCCGGGTCTCCAAGAGCACTGGCATGCAGGAGGTGAATGGGGCTCTGTCTCGGTGGGGGTGTGGTGGCGTGGGGGCACAATGTGGGCACTGTGCCTCCACCCTCAGGCCAAGGGCTAGGGAGGAGACAGCGGGCGCTGAACAGGGGGCCATCCCGCCCCGCCCCCCACCGGCCTCTCCCCTGGCAGCCTCTGCTCCAGCCCCACGCCCGCAGCCCCGCGGTCAGCCGCGCCGCCCCAGCCGCCTTTCCTGCCCACACCCCGGGCACCGCCCGTCCAGTTCCGCAGTCTCGGGCGCGCAGGAAGGTGCTGTCCTCGCGAGCGA